ATATATATATATATATATATATATATATATATATATATAAAGAAAAGGAACTAAAAAAAATTATAAATATAATATATATATATATAAAGAATAAATAACAAAGATTAAATATTAACATTTATTATTTGAAAAAAAATCTTTAGTTTTGACAATTTGCCTCCTTTTTCACTTTTACTCAATTAGGACGTTTTTTGTGCGTAAAACGAAAATGTCCATAAAAAGTTTGGTACTGTAGAAACCAAAATTAGAGGAAAAAACAAAGAGGGATGGATCATTACCCACACTGAAAAAGACTTTACTGGTACTGCAGAAACCAAAATTACATCGAAAAATTGTTGTTTCTTTTTTAACAATCCAACTAAATACTCAGATTCACATCAAAGGCATACCCAATGGACTCTTATTTTCGTTTTTTAACTGATTATGACTGATCCATCATATCTGAAATAGAAGCATAACTGGAGGGGTCAAAGTTTCTCAGCTGCTCTGTTGAGCATCTCGTACACTCTTCCTTAGAATAGATATGACATTTGCTGGCTCTTTTGCTCCGAATACTGAACTCCCTGCTACGATGCAGTTTGCTCCTGCCGAAGCCGCCATATCAATGGTTGAAGGACCCAAGCCACCATCCACCTTTGGTACAAACAAAATATATATAACTAGGCTGTAAGGATTAAGACCGAGACATACTGAAATACCACGAAGGTGACTAATGACAAATTACAAGCTTCTCAAGCATGAAAATTGACAACAGAACGCGGCTCGATCCTGCTTACGGACAAGCTTAAGAAATAAACATCTTTCCTATCTTATAATGGAACCTCAAACAGACTGCGACTTGAACAAGTTTCTAGGAAATCCTCTCTTTTCCACCCCACCAATCAAACCTAGAAGGTAAAACATAATTTACTGAAACTAGACTCAGCTACAACTAGGGTTACTGGTTAAAATGATGAATATATTACCAACACAAGTTATTTCTAACTCCATGTAAATATTTTCTTATTTTAACTAAATCTATGACATGGACAATCATAAAATAAGATCGTGTTAAGGTCAATTGTGCTCAGGTTGTCTCGAAAGAAACATGTAGTATCCTTTTCTACATATATTAAACAGACCTAGTTGGAACTAACTGTACTTTTTCGGTTCATTATGTATATGCTCATTCCTCATTCTTGCCATATTCCATCCACACATAATGTTAAAAATCATTCTTAAGTTGACACATGATTGCTTTGACCTCCGAAATATACTGGTTGAGGCATGAAGCATCATAAATCCATAATGGATGTTCCAAGATGCAAGTTTAGTAATGCTGATGATAAATACATCTTACTCCAAGACACAATTATTCAGAACCAATAAGGCACCAAGAAACTCCTAAGAGATAAAAAGTAAATTATCAAGCATGGTTGATAAAGATCATGATGCACTTACTAAAATATGTTGACGACTGTCTTACCTCTATGTCGAGGGAAGGGTATTTCTTTCTCAATGCACGTACCTGATTAATCAAGAAGATCAACCAGGATGCAACGAAATCAATAACTAATAACAGTATGAAAGAAAGAAAGTAAATAGACCTTATCCATCGTTTCAGGCATGAATTTCTGACCACCAAAGCCAGGTTCCACTGTCATGACAAGGACCATCTCTACAGGATTTTCTCCTTCCACCTACAAAACATATACAAAGAACTATGGCTATCGTTACTTTCATTATAACCAATCAATACATGGAAACATGTACAGTAGACCATAGTTTCAGATGGTCATCTTCTTGATTCACTTAGTGGGATTACGACTTCATTCAGATAAAGTGAGACTTGTGGGTTCTATCATAATATTAATCCTAAGCCATCAAATACAAATTAATGTGGTCGATATCTATCTGACTCCTAGGACATCCTGGTATATAAGATCTTGAAATTCTTTCTTTTGCCATACATTTTAACATAACTACACTAATTATTCATCATACTAAGGTGCTTATATATACTAACACAGCAGTATAATGTATCAATAGACTTTATTATATATTAAGGTGTGTAATATATACTAAAACATGCATGTATCAATTGACTTTGTAAGCTACAACCAACCACAGAGGTAGCAAATATAATTATTGACAACTGTGGAAAAACAGATTTATGAGATTAAGAAACCCTGGTTACGAGAACTTGCCAATGGATAAACTTCTTCGACAGGAGTTCCTGGCTTCAAAGCTACACCGGGCCGCATGCCCTTCACCTTTATTTGGTGGACGAGATCTTGCCAATAGTCTACAGAATTATTGTGTAAGAAATTGAACCCAGATAAAAACTGATTTGCAGCTAAAAGAAATGAATTTTCATATCACCTTTAGCCACTTCAACATGAAATGTAAAGCCTGAAGCGCCAGCTTTTGCTAATGGCTCTACATAATCCAATGGATTTGTAACCATAAGATGACAGTCTAAGTATGCCCTGGGAATTGATGAAAGCCATTACATCAGCAAATATTTCTAACAATAATAATAAAACTGAAGCATACAAGAAGCTTGAAAGTAAAAAAAGTAAGCATACTTGGTGTGTTTTCGTAAACTCTCGATGACTGGAGCTCCTATTGTCAGGTTGGGGACAAAGTGCCTGTGAAGGTGAGCAATAAAGATAGTATGAAAGAATAAGCTTTTTTCCTGGTGTAACAAAATCTGATGCATACTAATGCATGTCTCAAATATCAAATAAGCTGGTTGAGGAAATATATACCTGCCTTATCATCTCAAGCTGTGCCTCAAGATACTTGAACAAAACAAGTGTGAGAGAGTCCTTCCACTTAATTTCTGTGCAACTAATCCTAAGCTATGTTATGCGCATAGCCATCCTGGTTCCAATATGTGGAACACATGGCCTGGCAATTTTTAATAATAGAATACCTAATTTTAATGTGTATTATGATTGTTAAATTGTGATTGGCAACCTTTTCTCCATAATTGGAAAACCTAATCTTATTGCTGCTCAGTTTATGAAGAAACTTCACCTAAGTCACAGTGTTGGACAATTAGTACATATGCCTAAATATCAACACTGGGACTCAACTCTCATGCACAAGACCCATGAAATCTAGCTTGTCAAACACCAATAACTATTAGAAATTTGTATCTTTCAAAGTGTCTTGATAATAAATGATGATAAGGAATGTCAAAAACGATGAATGAAGGATGGCACTTCAAGCAAACGTTCAGAAAGTAGGGCGCGGCGGTCGCTGCAAAACCCAGGGCGCGAGCCCGGGCGGAGCGGCCGTCGGTGCAGATCTTGGTGGTAGTAGCAAATATTCAAATGAGAACTTTGAAGGCCGAAGAGGGGAAAGGTTCCATGTGAACGGCACTTGCACATGGGTTAGCCGATCCTAAGGGACGGGGGAAGCCCATCCGAGAGCGTGTCTAGTGTCACGACTTGGGCCTGATGGGCTAATTGGTCTATCAACTTCGTTTGGCCTAAACCACCGATCAAAATGCTTCAACTAAAGTTGATAGTAGTATACTCATCAAACTCTTATAAGCCACTCTTATTCTTACCCATTTTTTATGTGGGACTAATCAGGGTGTTATAATTTTTCTCATTCAAGGGCTTGACATCCTTGTCAATGCCCAACATAACCCAGATCAAACCCTAGCATAGTGCATGTGAGACGTAGCTCAGTAGTGGTTCCACACCGTGATGAGTCATCTAACTCCATTCACGAGTAGTCCTTTCCTTCTCAAGCACCCTCACCATATCTAAATACTAGATCGGCTCTAATACCAAATGTCACGACCTAGGCCTACTAGGCTAATTGGCCTACAAACTTCGTTTAGCCTAAACCACTGAGCAAAATACTTAAAGCTAAAGTTAATAGTAGTATATTCATCCGACCCTTATAAGTCAATCTTAGTCTTGCCCATTTTCGTTGTGGGACTAATCAGCGTGTTATATCACAATAGTTGCGTGGGAGAGATTGTAACACCCCGATTAGTCCCACATTGGAAGTGGGTAAGATTAAGATTGACTTATAAGGGTTTGATGAGTGTATTATTATCAACTTCATCTTAAGCATTTTGGTTAGTAGTTTGGGCCAAACGAAATTGATAGGCCAATTAGCCCATCAGACCCGGGTCGTGACATTTGGTATCAAAGCTGACCTAATATTTGGGTATGGTAAGGAAGCTCTAATAGGAAAGGACTACATGTGGATGGACTAACCATGCTAGGGTTTGATCTGAGCTAATAGACGAGAACATCAAGCTCTTGAGTGAGGGAAATTGTAGCACCTCGATTAGTCCCACATCAGAAGTTGGACTAATTAACTTACATTGCATTCTCTCAAATTCATCGTATTCATGTCATGATAAATTATCATGAATTATGCTATCAGACATATCTGACCAAAACATAGAAAAAGAAAACAATTGCAATATTTTATACCCTAACATACTTTTAAAAATCACGCCTCATGTGGTAACAATTGTTCTTTGCAAGTGAATCAAATCAACATAATGTTAATATAAACTACTAATGTGTAGATTAAGCATCATAATAGATTGTCCATTAATGTTATAGTCTACTAGATGAGGTTGGTCAACTAATAGGTTTGGTCAGCTAAGGTGACTAGATATGCAGCACTGGCATTCACATTATATACAAATGTAATGTACATCATGTATCGGTGTCAAATATGGTTAATGCAATCAGGTCTATGGACAACAATCACTAATGCAGGAGTTCAAGTGGGTTCGTGAATCACTTTTTAAGAAAACCCTAGTTTCAGAAAAGAAGGTATTAAGTAAGCATATTTGGATATGTTATGGATGGGAAGTTAAATTATATAGGACTGAAAAGTCACAACCACAGAGGCAGTTAATATCTTAGTTTGCAAACAAAGTGTCAACACCTTAAGTTGGATTACCTTATGAAAAGTGAAAAAGGAGATGGTCTTTGTGAGTTTTCGCTTCAAAAGGAAGAATGATGACTAGTTGCTGAAGAGGAACTATCAATCTAAGAAAAGAAGATGAATTGCTGGAAGATGCAATAGAAAATATGCGCACAGAATTTATGATGGAATGAACAGCATAATATGATGGTGTCCAATTATAGAAAACTTGTTCTTTCTTTAGGGCAATGTGTCTCTACCCAATGGTTGTATCTGATTGTATATCTGTCATGGTATATCTCATTTTGTGTATTCATCAGTGCAACAGAAAATTGATAATAAAATAATGCAAAACAATCAAAGATCATAAAGTAATAAGAATCCAAAGAATTAATGTCATGAAATAATTGGGGCTCATTATCAGTTTAGCAGAAGAATCCAAGACTAGAATCCATTTAGCAGAAGAATTGGGCTGGACTTGGAGGCAAAAAAGGCAACAACTATTTATTCAGCAACTTTTTTAATGGTCAGTTAAATCAAATTCCTACATGTTCTAGTATTGTGTGTATCAGATAAAAGAACAAATTATAAACTTATGAAGAACCACAGACAATATACAAAAGTATGTTGTATTATTTCCTGTGCATCGGTCATGTTTCTTAAATAGTCAAAAGTTTTGTTTTCCACCAATATATTAAATCTGGTAGACTCCTCCACTTTACATACCTTTGGGCATAAAATTACTCTTTATGCATGGAACTCCCACAGATGAGGTATGTTCTCAATTTTAAAGGAAGTCATCTTGAAAAATGAAGAGGAAACAAATGTAGGAGACTATTAAGGTTCTATCTCACGAGAGATTTCTATAATAACTAAGAACTAATTAAAGCATCAGATAGCAATGTTTGATGAGCAAAAACCTAATGCAGAAGGCTCCTATATCATTTTGGGTGCCAAAATTCACAATGCTACTTTTACCATTGAGAAAAGATCACTCACCCATCCTGCAAAAAGCATAAAAGTCTATATCAGTTTATCAAGCATACCACAAGGCACAAAATGTTCAAGCTGCTGAATTAGAACATATCTAGAATGTGATGGACAGAGTTTGAAATCTAAAAACCAATTAACAAAATAGAGTAGAAAGATTATTAGAAGATAATTGAAAGAAAAATCAAGAGTCATAATAATATAAATTAAAAATTAAGTGCATCAAAATCTAAGCCTTTACTCCACATGCCAACAAGACAGCTCATGTTGGTTACTAGCAACTAGATGGCAGACGTAAAAAACCAGTCTATAACACTAATAATGACATGGAAATTATTGATAAATGTAGGTGGAATAGATCTAACACTCAAGTCTTGACATACACCCTTAAAGAACCACTAAAGATATCGTGTTGTAGTTGCGCCTTTTTGGCAGTAAATTAAGATAACCACAATGGGATAAGGATACTAAGGTTCCTTCAAGTATCCCGTGGTAGAACCTAGACCCAATGTTTGCCCTACCAAGTCAACCAAAAGATGAACTTTCACAACCTGATCTCCAAAATCAACTCCTTAGAGACAATCGCCAGCCGAATCCGATGCGTTGGCCAAAACTAGCCCAAATCAAGGGATCAATTTGAATCCCAGATTCTTAAGAAGCGAAGGCAAACCAATATGCACCAAAGATGATGAGAAGCGAGACCGGGGAACCCCGTACCATGATGTCCATGTGAAGCCAATCGGCTCCGAAACGCAGCATCCGCTCGGCCTCCGACGCCAAATTCGCGAAGTCCGACGACAGCATCGACGGCGCAATCTTCGCCACCACCGCCATCGGTACTTTCTTTCCTCTGGTCCGTCTGCCTCTCTCTCTCTCTCTCTTTGCCGCAAAAGAGATCCGCGGTTGGTGTTTAATCGTGTTAGGTGACGAGAATGCAAGAGAGAGAGACAGAGACCCGGAGCAAAAGATATGCACGACACGGCGCTATGACCGCGTTTCGATCGACCGAGTTGGGTCCGACGGTGGCTTTGCCCTCCAAAATCCTCTGACCCAAATCTGGCAAATTGACCGGGTTCACGGAAAAGTTAGTTTGTCCAAAAGACACATTAAATTACCCAACAATCTTACCGAACCCATTCCCGAATCCAATCAACTCCTCGAATGAATATATATATATATATATATATTGTCCAAAAGACACATTAAATTACCCAACAATCTTACCGAACCCATTCCCGAATCCAATCAACTCCTCGAATGAATATATATATATATATATATATATATATATATATATATATATATATATATATATATATATATATATATATATATATATATATATATATATATATATATATATAAAAAGAGAGAGAGAGAGAGAGAAAAAAAATATATAAAAAAATATATATATT